AAAAAAAAAAAAGTTACATCTCATGATTAGTATTACAAATATTTTGCAAGAATATCAAGGGGTGTCAACATTGACAAATGGAGACACAAACTTCACAGACTTCAGGGAGCCTATTTTCACAACCTTGAGTTATTCGTATCAGTCGTTATGAAAGTTAGATGAGCTAAGATACAGGCAAAATGCTTAGCACAGTTGGCTTGGCTTCATAGCACACACGCAATAGTCATTAACAAGTATTTATTAGTTATCTACGAAAAGTTTCAAACACCGTCTACAACTAACCACAAATTCCTCTTCAGGACCGATTTCACCGACAGCAAATTAATGGGCGATTAAAAACACATTTTTAAACTACCCATCTTGAAGACCGCAAAGGTGCAATAACAAACTCTTCAAAAATTGAATTGGGCTTGTCAGGAACACAAATTCACAACCTAATTAAAAAGCTGGAAAACTGGTTAGCATTCTCATTAGGGCCAGAGCCAGCTAAAATCAGGGACAGTTAAAGGTCAAAGGCTTCCCGGCCGGTAGCGATTTGTTCCACTTTCACGGTCCCTGCCTCCCACAGAAACAGGGGGCTAAACCAAAGGCAAGCGCGGCCAAAGTGCAAGCGAGGACATGCCAGGTTAGACATCGCCCTAAGGGATTTCTTCCAGTAATAAAGGCCAAGGGACTCAAAGGCGATCTGGGATCTCAAGAGTCCTCGCCCCCCGACGGCCTCCCCAACCGCGGGAGCGCGCCCTCAGCCACGAGACCTCCACCCCGCGTGCCCGCCGCGAAAAGGCGAGTCCGCGCGCGCGGTTCCCGCCGGCCCGCCCCTCCGCCCTCGGCCCCCCGCCCCCCAGGCCCTGGGCCCAGGAGAATGCCTCCCAGGCCCCCCAACCCGGGCCCCGCGCCCACGGCCCAGGCAGGATACTGAACACAGTCCGCTCCCAGGGCTCCAGCATGTAGAGCGCCGTGACCAGCAGGTACTGGTAGTACAGCCAGGACATTTGCTTCCAGGCCCGCGCCAGCGCCATCCCCGCCGCGCGCCTCCTGCGTTGAAGCCGAACGTCAGTCTGTCTGGCAGGACTCCAGTTGGTGTCCTAAAGCCCCCGGCCGCGAGGCCCGCCTGCCAGCCCGCCACGCCGCGCCCATTGGCCCGCGCAGCCCCGCGCGTCACCGGTGGGCACGCCCAGCCCGGAGACCGCCCGGGCAGCCGGCTGCGAGCCCCGCCCGGCCGGTGCTCATTGGCCAGGCCGCGGCCTTGCGTCGTACCCGCTCCCTCCACGTTTCCCCCTCCCGGGACCGCGCCCACGCGAGCCGGAGAACTGTCCCCGCGAGAGCTCCCGCCTCGGGCTGCACGCCCCTCCCCTCTTTACCCGGCCGTTGGCGAGCTGGGCGTTAGTGCGGGCTGGGGTCCACCCAGTCCGGCCCAGATAGGCTGGTCCAGAAGGTATTTGTGGAAGATCTGAGATGCCTCAGGCATCCTACTTAGCAAAGGCATCCTACTGAGCAAAGGCATCCTACTGAACAAGAAGTGAGCAGGAACGTGTTAGGTTCCTATCCTCGTGCAATTTATAGTCTGTCGGGAGAGACAGACGTTAATAAAACGAATTCAAGTAGAGCTGTGATGGATGCAGGGGGGACAATATGGTGCTCAGAGAGGGTGGGGAGGAGAATGTCACCTCCTCAAGGAGGTCAAGGAAAGGTATCTCTGAAGTGATGCACACATTGCTTCCTCCCTCCCCCACGCACAAAAACACACATAGACCAATATACCCCATCCACGCCTTAACCTAAAGACATAAGAGAGATTACTATAAATATGTCTATCTGCCCTCTTTTAGTGGCTATAGCCACTGCGAAGGTCAAGGTCAGGAGAAAGATACCGATCTGGTGGGTTCTGCATATGACAGGATGCTTGAGATCTGTCTGTGGGCTGCTAACTCCTGGACATGCATTCTTGAACGTCCAGATTTTTCCACTGGCAAGTGGGCCAGCAACATTGCACTCACCTTCAGGAATGAGATGCATGGTTAGCATGTGAAATGACACGACCAAATGGCCTGCTGTTTAAATGTTAAAAGGTTTCTAGGTTAAAGAGCCTTCTGCTTAAACTTTAAAACTTGCATGGATGATGTTTTATTTATTTAGAAATACCAAGTGCTGTTCATGAGCTAAACATTGGGTATAGAAAGCCAGACTAAGACCTGCCTTTATAAAGTACCCAGTCTGCCAGGGAAAAGAGGCAACTTAACTGACTACAATGAGATGTGGTCAAAGGTATGTTTATGTTATATGCAGGATACCACAATAACCCAGGGAAAATCAGACTGGGGTTGTAAAAGGCTTCTGGGAAATGATGCTTAAACTGAATACTGAAGGAAAAGTAGAAAAGGCAGAATGAATGGGATTGGGGCCCGGTGCTGCGGGGACAGGTATTCCAAGCACAGGAGCATGAAGGCCTAATGCGTTTAAAGGGCTAAAGAACTTTCTCATGGCTGAAGCCAAAAGGAAGTGTAGGCAGTAGCCAGAGATGGGGCTAGATAGTAAACAGGGACCCTGTCCTGGAGGACCTTGTGTGAGGAGCTAAGGAATTTTTAACTTGATATCCAGAAGTTTAAAAAGCCCATGGCTTAATAAGATTTGCTTTATGGACAAGACTTGGGGATAGACAGTAGCCTGGAGGCTAGTGAGGAAAAGAGGATCCGTAGAAGACATTACACAGAACCTATAAATGGGACATGTATAACCCACACTTACTGGCAGCCTCCTTCCCCTTGAGAGATCTAAGTACACTTGGCACTCCCACTTCTGAAGCTTAACTGTGCTAGGCTTCTCTCTGTCACTGTTCTTCACTGAGCTATCTCTGTTCAGATCTGTTCAGGCACAGGCAAGCTCTGTTCCTTTATATTCAAGAACTTCCACTACCTCAGCACTTGGTGATACTTAGTTAAGTTTACCCAAGATTGGAAGCACCACCCATCGCTACCCTGCCGTCCCTGGGCCAGCTCCCTGGGCCGTTCCCACCACGCAGTCCTCCTCCACTGTACACAGCCCCCA